ACTTAAAAAAAAAAAAAAAAAAAGTATGTCTAAATAATTTAGATAAGTTTGACAATTCACTTCAAATTTAGTAGGAATGGGTTGTGTAAAATCAGTCATGAATCTTATCGATTTTTGATTTTTATTATAGAAGTTGGAATCGATAGATTTATTGTTATAACCTATAAATTAAAAAAAAAAACACTGTTTTCTCAAATTAATAATGACCATAACAAATAATGAGAGTAAATAAATGTTTATTACTACTACAGCCGAACGTAATCGAATTGGATATTGCTATTATTTCTGTCATCGCTCAATTCTCTACACTATAATCAATACTAGAATTGTCCTCTAAATTAGTTAGTAAAAAAATAATCATTTTCGATAAATATTTAAACCGAATATCGATTTTCAAAATTGTTCGTTATGCGCGTTTGTTTCGTCACTACGATACCTGTCTATTAAGTATGGCATTTGCTTTCATACAAATTTAATTCGATACTTTACATGCGTCATTTAATAAACTAATCTATCTTATTTAGACATACTATAGATATTAAAAAGTCGTTTCAGATTTCGGTCAACAGATTAATTCAAAAAACAGCAAAAAAAACGTTGCTCTAACGATACGAGAGAGTATTTAAAAATTATAACCTGGTAATACCGCCATTAAAATACAATTCTAAAAAAGCTGCTTAAAAACGCGATATAAATTAAGTCACAGACTAAATAATTTGCAATAGTTCAACTAAAATAACGAAATAATTTGTTTTTCTAAAGTACCTAACCTATTTTATACTTCTAGGTTACGCTAATTGGTGTTACATATAGGCTAATTATGACAATTTAAAAATGTAAAAAAAAAGTAAAGCATTTGTATTTATACACACTATATTAATTTATGTAAATGTCTATAATTTCCCTTCAGTGTAATAATAACTGTGCATCTTATCACATTTATTATTAATGTATTTTTTTATTATAACTTACATAAAAAAATTAAAAATTATCGTTCTGTCATCTTCAAGTGCAGGCTCCGTAGACAAAGCGACTTTCGATTGTATCTCGCTTTTAGAATCGACGAAATGTATAGAAATAAACACGTGACAAGCACGTGACTTATCAAAAGTTATTGTTAGTTCCATAGATTTTAGACTTTTCGCAAGTGCGACAGTGTCGCAAGTCTGCAGGTGCGCATCCCATTCAACAAAGTAACACTCGATTATCGGTATCGCTGATCGAAAAGTCAAAAATGTATGAAACTGACAATAACATTTAAAAATCACGTGATTGTCACGTATTCATTCTTATACATTTTGTCGATTCTACAAGCGACATAGCTATTCTAAAGTCACTTTGTCTAGGGGGGCTGGTTACCTTTCATACATTTGATATTATCATTACTTTAAAGATAATTTTTTTATATTAAACAGACTAGGAGTAACATTATGTTACCGATTTTTGGTACAAATTTTAGTTTCTAAAACATAATAAGATCTGTAATAGTAACTAAAGGTCATCCGTTCATCACTAAACGCTATGAGACAACAAAAAGATAAATTTAACCGTTATTGAGTTTTTACCAAGTTCTTGTGACAAAAAAATATTTTGATATACTGCGTAGCATGTTATGAGGAGGGATGAATCACATGTTACAAGGAGAACGTTAGTAAGGAGTGTGGAGGTACACCGGTAGAGGTAGACCTAGAAAGAGCTGGATGGATTGCGTAAAGGTGACATGATCAAGAAGGTGGTGATGACTGAGATGACGTATGATAGAGTTATTTGGAGGACAACAACCTGTTGCGCCTCTACGGGAGTAGGATAAGGAGGATGACGATGATGATTGAGATGTAATTATAATATAGTAAACTACGCTATATAGTGACCTCCCAATTCATATACACTAAAATATTGTAGTAATTGTAACCCATGTTTGCATCAAATCAATAGTCATTCGATTTCTTATTATGTTGTAACGACTTACATTATTTAGATTTTGAATATTTTACTTTACACAAAAAAAAAAGATAAAAAAACATTGATCCCTCTCCTTACTCATGGATACTACAAAATCTAACATTTACATATTAAATATTAAAATCGCAAATATTATTTTACCTAATTACATATACACAAGTTAATAGTAATAAATCAGAATATTCGAAATTTTCGTAGTGTTTTAGGCACTATTTAGACAGCCATCAATACTTATTATCTATACAAAGCTTTCTTAATTTATCATACAAACTACATTTCATCAGGCAGGTAAAAATTTGATTATAATCGTGCGCGGAAACTTTGCTGATAGCATCATGACGTCACGCGTCAGTCAATACTGAACAGAGGAACGCGGGATGCGGTTGTTTTCAGTGGAGTTATCAGCAAACCTTCTACGCACTGTACTGTTATATCTATAAATGAGTATAGCCACCGTAAAATTGCAAACATTGTTTGTTATCAATGTAACTAAGAATATAAACAAGGAAACTAACAAGCGAACCATTTAGAATTTTCAAATTTTTGTCGTCAAAGTTTAAACTAATCTTGTTATATTAGTAACTTAAAACAATTTAATATTTTTTATGATATTAGAATAATTAGTAAATCATAAAAACAATTTATGAGAGTTTAGACTATCGCTAGTGATGTCATAAGCTGTCGTTGTTTACAATTTTACGGTGGCTTAATGCATTTGGAGTGTATCGTAAATTGTGTTGTGATCTTAAATATTTATAAGCGTTCAGAATCATATTACTAAAGCTGTCAAACTCATATGTGTTGACATTAATATGTTTATTGGTACATTATTTTGAATTATTAATATTAGACATGAATTTCACACAAAAGGCTACTAAAACATTTTCTTAATTTCTGTGTGACCTGTTTACTTGCACGTGGGATTTTTTACAATAAATAATGTGAGAACATTAACAATTATTGTGACAAAGATTACCCTTTGAATTGTAAATATTTATTTAGAATATGTGTTTTTTAATATTTTTAAAACATAACTTTATATAAAAGCAATCTGATTATATTAAACATGCTTTAAGAACATAAGCCAAAAACATAACATGATAATTAGATAACATTTTTGTGCATATTCATGTCAGTGTAAATTCATGATTTCAGATGTACAAAACATTTTTAGTACGCGATGCAGTAAAATAATTTTTAACAACGTGGTATAAATAGCGTAATTTATAAAGTGAACATTGATGTTCAAATAATCGCGCTATATACAAATGTATATTTCTGCTGTGTATTAAAATATAAAATGAGGACGATACTTAACATTAACATTAGAATTTAAAATAATATCATCTATCTTTTGACAAGGCGTTTCTTGATAAAGCATATCGTTAACTCACAGTATTAGGTCTTTTCGTTCTTCATCTACTATCTAAACAATACCACTAAGAAACAGTCTGACACTTCCGAAACTTTGGGGAACAGCGAAGGAAACTACGGCTGGCCTTGTCTCACGCTGGCTTCTTCCGTCGGTGAACCGGGAAACTCATTTCACTCTTCCAATAAGTTTATGATAGATAATAACAAATTTGTCGTTGCACAAAGGAATAGAACATTTAAACACTAAAAACAGTAACGGTCAATTAAGCTTGCTTTACTATCTGCATCGTTATAAGCTATTGTGAAACAATTTTCCCGATAAACTTACTAATAGTTATTACATAAGAAGGGGATAGGAGCCGAGTTTCGTCGAGTTCAGCAAAGGAGTTCGGAATTGGAGGGCGGTACTCAGCTGGGCAGCTGCGTGCGGGGTGGCGCGGGCGCAGGGCTTGTGGGCGCGAGTTGCGCCGTCGGCGTATGTGCGGCCGTGCTCTCCGGCGCAGAGTGTGCTCGCGCCGCCTGGTGGCCCACAGGACTAGGCGGCCACGGATGCGAAGCTGATGCCAGAGGTCTGTTAAGCAAAAAGCAAATTGTAATACTTGTCCAGGTAGTATTCTTTTGTAACCAAAACCAATGTCAAATGTTGAAGAGTTACAATCACTGGATCTATTTTTAGGTTTTCTGTATGTTATTCGAAATTGAAGTTGTCACTCAAGAGTTGACCTTGCATCTTTAAATAATTGAGCAGTCAAATTCTAAAAATAAACCTTGCTTTAATGAGCGTCTCCTGAGTGTATTCATCGTTTACCTGGCATACGGTGTGATCGTTGATGAGGGAGGCGTGGGCACAGCCGCGGTGTCCGGATGGAGATAGTTCCTGCGCTGTTCAGTTCTCTCCCAATGTTGTTGTAAACATCGAGCCATGATGTCTGGTATTGTATTCATTTGCTCCTGTAACGATTAACAATTTGTCAAAATCAGCTTTGACAAAATCATAGATGGCACGTTGTCTTCTAGCATTAGTGTCAGTAAGTACTCTTCCATACATTTCTATCAGATCTATCTAGAAATCACTACCTTTCACACAATTCATCCTTACTTTCTTCCGTTTTTTTCCTTAGTTGTGTATAAGTCTATTATTTGAAATATTTATTTACCTGCAAAGATGTGAGTTTTTCTTCTAAACTAGTTAATCTCTCCTCTATGTTGTCTTGCCGCGTGCTCATGTCGGACACGATCTCGTAGACCGTGTTCTGGGTCTGCAACAGGAAAGGGTCCTACGATCAATCGCTTTGCAGCTCAATACTCACTGTTGGTTCTAATCGTGGCTTTATTGTATTGTTTGTTCTCAAATTCTAGTTGTTATTCTGTGTGGTATTTTAAAATGTATGTCTGCTGAGAATATTCTATAAATAATTCTCTCGTGTGTTATTTTGTTTTGTATAAGCGTGTTATTAATTTAAATTGTATTTATCATTTAAATAATACTGTAATTGTTATCTGTTATAATGAAACTACATGCAAATAGCAAATGGAAATGAGTTTCTTAAAATAAAAGTATTATTAGACTAAATCGATGTTTCCTCTTATTTATTTCAAATAACACTTAAGAAGATAAGAACAATTAACGTGCAGAAATCATAATATTAGGAAACACGAATTTGTACAAATAATTTTAATAGAAACTAATTACTTACAAGCAATATTTAGTTAAAAAGCTAAACAATCTATAAAAATATTCTTGAACCTTCAGAGAATAACTGAGTTTTTCAAATCATTCATTCTGTTTGGTCTACAGGTCACAACAGATCGGATTTTTAACTAGTAATAAGTCTAAAAGAATCACTAATTACGTCTACTGGGCATCACAATACTTTAAGTGCCTCTAGAGGAATGAAAGTGTAAATGATAGTAGCATCAGCTATACTTAAAAGACAAGTATATTGATTTACCTTCGCCATGTCTGTTATTGTGTTTGCGTTATCCATTAGCTTCCTTTGATCCATCTTCACTTTTCTTAATCTGTAGTAACAAACATTAATGTTAAGTAAATAGGTTTTGCTCGTGACTTCGTCTACATGAAGTTTAAAAATATCGCTTATGTTACTCAGTGATAAGGTAGCTTTCTCAAAGTGCATACATACAAAATTCAAGCCTTTTTTCTTTAGAATACTAGAATAGATATACCTGAAGTATTTATATTCCAAATAGAATTTAATTTTTGATATCTTAAAGTAAAAGGCTTCTCATAGAGGCCATTGGATGCATAAGTGTTGTACTAAGAACGCGTAGAATAGCTGTCAGAGGGGACTTTAATGTATCTTAATGTGGAATTTCCAAGAGCAAGATGGTTACTAATTATTACACTCTGAACTTACGCGTAAATGGCTAGTAGAAATTTTCTCTGATGTGTTCTGACGCGCCCGGGGTGGACCCTCTTCACGAGCCGCGTGTGCTTGTATATGAGCCAAGTCTCCCTCAACACATTGGCCGCTGCGTTTTTCAGCTGAAATTTTACAAGCACGTTGATGGATGTATTGTGTTCATTTTATATAGAATTTTTTTCACGTTAAAAAAAACTTATTTGTTAGTGTGTATTTTTGTTTGATATTTTCTTATTATATTTTAGAGCTATGTGATTATATTTCCTATCTCTTTTTAAATACGGAGATAACTAGCGAGTCTTTGTTTAGTTTATTTATATTTTAAATGGTTTACACAGAACCGAAATGAAATAAGATATAAAAGTCTATTTTATTTGAATTTGTTTATTGTTTAATGTATGTATATGCCAAGCATCGAAATGTCTTTTTTTATTTTCACAAAATGTTATTTAACAAAATTTGGGCCGCTTAATGAAAGCAAATGGTTAGTTTTTATTTCCGTTCGCAGGCTTCCTTACCTTGTCTCGGCCTGCCGTTCAAGAGGCCCTTACCTTTTTTGTGAGTTGAGTTTCCATCATGAAGTTATGAACGTGTTTCTCCGCTCTAGTTAATTCTAACTTTCTCGAGGCAACGGTCACTAACAATGCTGTACATCCTGCCCCCTGTTAATTAGATCAATAACAATTGTGATGAACCGATGCTGATGGAATACTTACTCTTTTAGTAAGTTGTGTATCCATCATGAAGTTATGAACGTGCTTCTCAGCTCTAGTTAACTCTAACTTCCTTGAAACAACCGCGACTAATAACGCAGTGCATCCAGCTCCCTGTTAAGTGAATAACTTAATGTAAAATGTAAGCGATCGTGGAAAGCATTCGATTTTTTACATTCCTCAAATAAATGCATATTAAAGGCTATTCAACTAAAATTTAAATTTTTATTAAGAGCTATATGCTACTTAGCCGAATACGGTTATTATTTTCTTTATTTATGGCAACTCAATTAAATTCATACAAAAAATCAAAAAGAAAGAAATATAATGTTAATATTACTTACCGAAGATGTTTGTAAAATGGATTTTTTGTTAAAAATTTTGATTTTTTGTATCAATCGTCTATTATTCAAAATAGCAATTTAAATAATCTAGTTAAGTTTTGTCGCACACTCAATAGCTTTATTATCTAAAATTTAATTTAATAAGACAATTAAGTAGAAGCTATAATTTTGTTGCCAATTAGTATATAGACGAGATTTTATATGCTAAAATTTAGAAGTAAGATATAATCTCAAAGACTAAAAAATCGTAGTTTATAATTATTTAAAACAGAGATACTGTCATTGTCATCCATCAAGTGCTTTTCAACTAAATTGTGCATCTCATTTTATACAACTTATTTATTGAATATTTTAGCTTAATTTAATATTACACAACCACTAATAAAGGTGCAATGAAGACTTTTAACGTTTCTCATGTCTAAAAACTGGAGGAAAAGTGAGCCATTTTAGAAAAAACAATGTATAGTGCAGTCGGTGAAATATTAAGAATGTGAATAGAAAATCTACAAATAGAAAGAAGATTCGAAGCATTCCATACTACAAAATATAAATCATCTAATAGCTGGCTTTAACAGGGAAATGGACGATTTATTTCGATATAAACTCACTTCGGAATTTTAATTTTAATTTAAAAACATTTTATTAATAACAGTAAAGTGAATATTTTTCACATATTTGCTTGTGTATTTAAAGTAAAAATATAATATATACCTCCAAATATTGTGAAAGCAAAGGCTTTGTATACATACATCGATTTGCATACAAATATTTGGTGAAAACATTCATACACTTAAACATCCAACACTTAGTAAAATCACCGTCTCTCATAATTTGTGTGTTCAATCCAGTGTCTTGTGTCCACGAATGTCACTTCCAGTTAATTGTGTTGACTGACACAATATCAATGTCTAAAAGTCTTGATTTTCTTCGTTATTAATTGATAAAAAAATGTCAGTCAACACGTATAACATTTTTAACACAAACTTACCATAATACCGGTGCTTACAGCGATACCCCTGCCACAATATGTATTTGGCACAATGTCTCCGAAACCAACGGAGAGAAATGTTATGGCTATAAGCCACATCGCATTGAGTAGGTTAGCGTGTTCTTCATCGTGAAACCTGAATCGTTAATAAATTGTATCTCTTGGATTTAAACCCGTATATGTAGACAAATGAATGAATTTTACAGCCTCAAATGCCCGCTCAGTAACTGTTTGTCAAAAAGGATAGATAACGAAAGAATAAAAAAAATAGTTCGTAAAGAGTTTGACTTTGATTCTGAGAGTATAATCATTGATGAATGAAATGCATAAAATGGCTCACCTTTACCGACCTATACAAACAGAAATGATAGAAAGAATCACAACAATAACGATCATATTTGACACGACTAATATAATAGATAACTTAATAACGTATACCACAGAGAAGAAATGAACGTCCACAATAGCCTTCTAGTTAATACATACCACCATGCCGCAGGTGAGAGTAATGCCGCGGCCGCAGTAAGTGTTGGGGACAATGTCACCGTAGCCGACACAGAGGAAGGTAATAGCAGTCAGCCACATTGAATTTAGCAAATTTGCATGGTCTTCATCGTGGAACCTGAGAGCCAAAATGCCCAACAAGAACCACAAAATAACCGACATTGATAGCATGTTCAAGTGAAAATTTTCAAATATCATAACAATAATTTTGTAATATCAAAGGGACAATTTTTATATTTGACAATAGATTAAAACAAACATTTAGTTGATAAAGCAATTTCTATGCAGAACAGATCAGCTTGAATCAACGGATGTCAAATTTATTACAACACATACTAGATTTTGAAAACAACGTAAATAACGTGCAATCTAAACACTTAATATAATCAAATATACTTGGCCATGCGCGAACTTTCTTACTGTTTAAACACAGGCTAATAACACAGATAATCAACATTAAAGTGACAGACACGCAGCAAGAATAAAGAGATACGTAAAGTACAACAGAAAGCCCAGTATACGGGGTACAGATGGAAGTATGAAGATGTGTGTGACGAGGTGCGGTGAGTGACAAGTAAGGGTCGTAATCTGGCACCGTTTAACCTTGAGCCATTTTGTGCGTAACTACTGTTTGTAAAAGCAAATTTCGTTGATTTGAAGATACTTATGTTTCTATTTCTTATCCGTCATTTAATTTAATAATGTTTCTTTAATGTTATCAATGCATCGTATTATTTTTGTTAATCTTTTTATGAAACACATTTTACAATTATTCTTCTATTAAAAGTAACACTTTAAAAATGTTGAAAGAGATGTGATAGTCAAAGTCAAACTCTTAAATTTATTGTTATAAATGATCGTGAACAATAAATACTTTCAATTTTGTTTTGTACCAGTAACATCTACTACACGAAAATAAACAAAAAAAAAATCAAGACAACACAGTACTGAAGCGGTTGCATCTGTGGAGGCAGTTAGAAACATACGAATACATTTTATATTAACCACATAATTAAATAACCAAAGCTTAGCTAAGAATATTTTACAACGTACTCGAAAGTAGCTTTGAAAAATAATAGCAAAAATAATAAAACAACAAAATTACATTTTTATTCAAGTACTAATGTACATTGGTAGAATTCATTGTGTACTTGGTGTTCATAGCACCGTGAAGATCTTTGTCGTATTCAAGTAGATCTTTTAGTATGTGTTATGCTTAGTTACTTAGTGATATTAAGCATTGATACCAACCTTTCGCACTGTCGTAACGTCCAACTTGCTATTATCCATAAAGATACCATGAACACTAATAGTACTGTACCAGGGCAAATTGTCATAAGCGTTTTCAGCACAAACCTGAAAGGAAATATTACATAGGGTCACTCGTCAGCTGAATACGTCCCCACTCAAGTGTTTGAAGCGTACCCTAATGAATGTTATATGACTAGGCCATAGACAACAATCGCCCAGTGTGTTGGTACATTTTGCATCTTTGAATTTCTGTTTTTTTTTTTTATTTCGATGGCTCAGGGGTTAAGCACTCAAATTGCAATAGTTCTTGGGTTCGAATCCAGCTACGTGCATTTGTAAATGTACAAATGACGTTCTTACCATTATGGAAAACATCTTGATGCAACCTGCACAAATTGCCGAATGACCACTTAATCTATTTTTAAACTGAGTGTGTTTTAATATGACAATAATTGTAATAATTTTACTTCTTACTGAAATTATAAATGCAAAAGTTTATATAGATGGATAGATGGATGGGAGTTTGTTAGAGTTTGTAGCCTTAACTATTGGACGGATCTCGATGAAATTCGGCATAGATGTAGAGAATAGTCTGGAAGAACACATACTCTGCTTGCTTTTGTTTTTTTATTTCCACGCGGACAGAGTCTAGGGCGAAAGCTAGTACTCTTATAAATAAGGTAATTTGGAAAGACTTATATTTGTTATTACGTAACTCTAAAATTTAAAACAGATAGATTACAGTCTGAAGTATTGCATTGGCTACATACTCAGTTCTTTTAAATAATTTATTAATACAACAAGTAAGAAGAACTTACCTAGTATTAAAATTAATCCTATTTAAGGCTCCTATACTTCTCGAAGATGCGTCAGTGAACAATTTACTATGAAGCAGCATCACCCTACATATTAGGTAGAGTCGAAAGAACATCGGCAATGAAAGTGTAACGTCGTAAGGAACCTGGAAATATAGAAAAAAAATCATTTAAAAAACATAACAAAAAACAAAACACTTTCGTCTATATTTGTTCAACTATTTTCGTATAAATGTATTCGTATTTTGAACTTGGAATTCCTATTTTCTAATAGATTATTTCTTTTCTTGTAATAACAATGTACGTGATTTTTTTCTTTTGCTTGATATTAAAAAAAATATTTCTTAAAAACCAGGATAAATACTATTCAGATTAAACATTTTGAAATAAACAATATCGCATTTAGATAAATAGAACGTCACAACGTGCTATTAAAACGACAAAGGGTTAACAAGAGTTGACAATTTTTAGCATACGTGCAGGTCAAATCATTGTTGAAACCTAGATCTAAATCTAGATTTTTAAATCTGTTGAAAAAATTAAAGATTACAGTACAAATTGAATGTAATTGTTAATTCGAAAAATATATCTATTAACGTACGATAAAACAATTAGACACTTAATTTTTTCATCAGAAAAGAGTTAAATTGACTATTTAACCTACTAGAAGATATGGTATATTTATGTTACAGTTAAAGAAATTAAAAAAAAAAAACATTTTAATAGTAAATACCATCTTCTAGTGTACATTTTTTCAAACAACACATATCTCATTTTTTTTTAATATTGTAAGGTCTTAACCAATGTAGGTAATGTGAATAAACACGAACAAACAAACATAATTCAAGGAAACCATGCGTGATACATTGAACGACATCACACAAGTTTTTTTTTAAATACAGACCTGAATTTGCTTATACATTGTTTCCTATAAAAAATAAAAATGATTTAAAAATAAATAATAATAATTACGACAGTGAATGGTTACAATCCTCTTAATTGTTTATTATAATTTTTGCCATAATACAAACGCTCATATCTGGGGACCTATCACGAAACACTGTGAGAAAGTATTCGTAACGTCATCGATAAAAAAATTTATTAGATTTGTAATTGTTATTGAGGTATGTACTTTATGTCCGCTAGGGAGTATTACACAAATCTAATGCATTTCGATAACGTTACGAATTTCAAAACGATTTTTTTTCGCTGCGTACACGGTACTATTAATGTTTCGTCTAGCATAGCAAAAATCCATAATTTTAATAGATTCGAACTGGAATAATCGGAACATCACTATTCTTAGTTTAAAATCTAAATAAAATTTATTTAATGTTTTATCAATCCATTTTAAAAACACAGTGTGTAAAAAAATCAACTTACAACTTCAACGCCTATAACACCTCCTTTGTTGGCCAGTTTAGTGGTCCACGTGAATGTGTACTGGCCTGGAATGGGATGGACTGCACAGATCGCGAGTTCCAACGCAATCTGTGCTATCCTCTGCCACGTCATTGCTATCCGCCAATCATCAGCGCAGTTGTCGATCATGAATAGCTGGAACATAAACACAATCATAAGAACAAGTTGTGTTTCCACTGTTTGTGATACTTTATCACCAAGTTCGAGATACCACCAAGTTGCAGAGGTTACATAAATCACTATCTTTCGCCCACCACTCCGTCCGCGCAGCATTATAAAAAAACAAAAGTGAGTAGCCTATGTGCTCTTCCAGACTATCGTCTAGATCCATACCAAATTTCATCGAAATCCGTTCAGCCGTTTAGGCTTCAAAGTCTAACAAACATCCATCTATCCATCCATCCATCTTTCCATGTATGATTAGTATGATATTAAAACGTTCAGTTATTTATTTTTTAAAAGAGAATAAAACTAAGCGAACTCATAGAAACATGAATTCAAGTACTTCATAAATGTTACTAAACGAAGGGTATAAAAATCTAAATGACGACACAGTAGCGTTGCTTTATCAAATATTCAACGCAACGGTTATCCCAGTCCGACTGCAAGCGTTATGAAAAAGCTGATGAATTTTAGATAGGATCGTTCTGTTGATTTTTGAAAATTCCATTTTTTTCATCAACAATCTCCACTTGTGAAATAAAACAGTTAAACTGATGTTTAATTTTTAACAAGCTTAATAAGTGTCTACTCAAAAAAGATATCTTATTTTATAATTAACCATTAGAATCACCACATTATCACCAGCTCACTATACGTCCCCATTAACTGGTTTGGATCTTACCCTAAGTTAGGGTAACTAGGCCATAGTCAACCACATTGGAATATTGCGGGTTGGTTGGTGGGTACACATATCTTTGAATTTTTTCGCTGATATGTGAAAATTGCATCACGATGTTTTCCTTCGCCGGAAGAACGTCGGTTAAATTATGTATGACCCTTAGTGGAAACGTATGAGTTCTGTTCCCCGCCTAATCCACTTTCCCTGTCCATCTTTTTCTTCAAAATAACCCTTAGAAAATATATGTATGAATATTCACCACTCACCTGTACTTCTAACGCGTGGTAAGCAACAATTAGGCCGAGTAAGATCACAGTTGACATGGAAATTAATGTTTTTAACGCTTGTGAGTAAATTGACGCCTGAAAAGAAGGTTATCATTAGTTTCAAATCAATTTTATACGATAATATTTAAGGACCGTCTGACATACCTTGGTATAAACACCGGCACTGGAAAGTTCGTTTTCTATTACCATAATTATAATACCGAACATTCCCATTACAAGGGCGTAGTCGCTTATTCGTTTTCGTTTTTCAAATAATGCCTTTCGTCTACCTAACCTGAAATCAATAAGAAAATATATCAAACTAGCTGTTCCCGTGCGACATTATACGCATGAAATTATGAAAATTTTTTCATTGATTACATTTGTCAAATTCAATTGCAAATGTCAAAATGACAGACATAACATGATGACAAAGCATGTCAATTTTGCATCCTTGATGTTGGCAGCAACTTATGGTCTCTTTCCCACATTAGGGTTTTTATCTAAAATATTTACCCCTAAGTTTAATTACGTTTAAATATATTGCCTAAAGCGTGACGTAAGTGTAGGGCTTTTTATTAAAAAAGAGTTATTCAAAAATATGGTGTAATTGCTGAGATCTTAGGCAACAAAGAAGTGTGTGTTTACGCTTTATTATAATAGTATTGATTGAGTGCAGTAATTTATTTAGATTTAATTATTTAGAAAGATTCTTATTCTTATAAAGAAAAATAATAATAAACTAAAAATATTCAATTAACTTCATCTCAAACTAATGAAATTGTTGTTAAAGAAAAAAAAATATAAAACTCAATATATCGAGTTTCCGTTGAAATTGATATTTAAATCGTGAAGGATAAAACTATGGTATTTTTATAAATAGAGCAAATGTAATGCAATAGTCAATTCTAGTTTAAAATTCAACTTGACATATTCAGGCATTTTCAACACAGAAAGCAATAAGTGACAAATGGTAGTACATTTAACTTTCAAGATCGATGCGGTCCGATAAAAGCTATATCCGTTTGGTCAAGGTTGAAAATGTACCAACGTTTAGCAAATACAATTCACTCGACGTTCTCAATAAATGTTTGACTTAGTCTCGATAACGAATTTATCATTTGATTTCATCTTTTATTTAATTTCGTCGTTGTTTTTGACCATTGATTTATTTGCGCGGATAGTTTTATCTAAGAAGGAAATATCTGAATTATCGAAATACATTTACAAACTAAAATTTAAAGTTCAAATTTTGAACGTAAAAATATCTAAATATATTTTCGGAGTGCAATCCAGCTTAAGTCCCGTATAAAGTCGGGCATTACATTTCGTAAAGCTGGTTAAAAGCGGATTTATCTGGTCAAAAGGGTAAAATAACAACGAAGTTAATGCTTTGTGGCAAATATATCTGAGTATAAAATTTCCGTTACTGTATATTTGTTTTGAAAGATTGAAAATAATATTCTTGAAACAAAATTCAATAACAATAGCCCTTAACACTGTTACATCGTAAATGATGGATGAGCTCTCGTACTGGTTGTTGAATGCAAAATACAACCTCTTTGGCTGACAAGCAGTATATATACAGCCAAAGAGGTTGCATACTGGCCACCAAGGCAATAATCGTTTATAAAAGAAGAAGTCAAGATGTAATCAAGAGAGTTTTAAGTTTTGTATATATTTTGTGTAAATAAGTTTTAAAATAAAGATATGTTAGGTTAATAATAAGTGTTTTGTATTTTTGGCTGCCGCGCTGTCGGTAACAAGTTAAACACTGGTCATTACAAAATCTCAACCTCTTTGGCTACAACTGTGAATATAGCCAAAGAGGTTGAATACTGGCCAGCGAGATATTGCATGGTTTAAGTATCAAAGAAAAGATGATAAAAAAGAGAAGGAAAAAACCCTTACGTACTAGATGTGTTCACGATATAACTAGTTTTGTTAATTAGTTGTTAATATGTAGATAAATTTTTAAAAATATTTTAGTTAGAAGACAAGTTTTTGTTTTGTATTTTTGGCTGCCGCGCTGTCGGTAACAAGTTAAACACGTACCATATCGTTAAATACGTATATCGGTTGGATTAAAAATAAACAATGAAGGATATTGAAAAAAAAAACCGTCTCCGCTTGTTACAATTATATTAAATACAAGTCCTTCATACGTCATGTATGTATATATACCTCAAACGGTTTAGGCAGCGTAAACCGAGAAAGAAACCGTGGTCCAGAAATACGATGTTTATTTATAATTCTTAAACATCACTAATAATCAAATCTAGCCTGAGTTACTCACAGATAAATAATCTTTTTAACGGTAAGAGAATTTTTAAAATCGGACCAATAGTTTTTACGTGAATCAAATTCATAGATCTTTCCTCATTATAATGTAAGTATAGATACATAGTCTCGGATGCTCAATAATAAGATAGTATCCTAATGTTGAAAAGATTTTATGAATCGTTTCACTAGTTTTTGGGTTAATTGTATACAAATCTTTTCTCTTCGTAATATTTATATAGATTATTCTGTATTCTATACAGCTGTACTTTCTTTAGCGTGTGGAAAACACCAACTTATAACAGAACAGTCGTGAGAAAAGGTTAACGATCCCATTCTGCTTGGCAGCGACACAAGTGCAATACTTGTAAATAATACTCCTAACATTTATAAAGTAGATTTACTTTCAGTACCATTTAAATATATTCACTTTGGAAACAAGAAGTTCTGCGCAAATTAATCCACTAGATTGTTGTAATTCATGATCTAAGTGTTCTAACAAAGACCGTATTCTACAAATTTATTGCAAATATATTCATAGATTTCAATTTAGGTAAATTGCCGGAACCCAAGTCGGGTCGCATCAATGGATATATTCAATTAAAATTAAATTAAGAGATAACGCTACTGACCTATATCCTATGTTTGGCTTGTGTTTAGCTGTCCCCCCGCCTTTGTAGGTGCCGCCGCCGAGGGCGCGCTCCTCGCCGAAGCGCGGGTACTCGCTGTGCACCCCGACCAGCGCGACCCCCGCCTCCTCAGCCCCCGCGTCTCTCCCCCCGGAGTACGCCTTCATCGCGCCAGGGATCGACACCGTCGACACCGGCTTTCGCAGCTGGAATTCATAACATTACATCTCAATTTGTGACAACCCTAACCGTATAATAAAACGTTCGCCGCAAAACGTAGTAAAAAAGCTTCCAGAACTAAAGTATGCTTAATTAACTCGTAATGTAGTTAAGCGGTGAGGCAGCCGATCTATAATTTAACTAGGATACTCTAACCTAGTTCAAGAGCGTTTGAACGTGATTCATGATAATGATGTAAATTTCTTTAAAATATTTATTTTGGCCGACTTAATGAAGATAACATTTTTGAAGGTATACATTTATATCAACCTTATTATGATATAGTTGGTTACTATACCAACTACATCATAAACACCTAATCAAGTTTAAAATGATCAAGGATAATACATTGTCTTGGTGTTACGTAAGTCATTTTTTTATTTTTTTTAAAATCCAGTCTGGCTTGGGTATACAATATTGTTATATGTTAATTTTATCGCTATGTGTTCCCTTTTTAACCGACTTCCCAAAAGAAGAAGGTACTCAATTCGTCTGTAAGTTGACACCGACATCAAAGTAACTAATAATTATTGTACAAATAGACATAAACAGCTATAATAAGGGAGGTTTACTATTTTCAAGGAATTATTTCGTTACTTTTTTATTTTTTGAGAATATTTTGTTTTTAGTGTATTTAGTTTGGAAGTCGTTTTTTTTATTATTGTTACGTTACAATATCATATAGCTACGGAAAGCTACGGTTCGCTACGTGAACCGAATATAAGCTACGAAGTGCTACGAGCAAATCTTGTTAAGGACGATGATATGAACCTTACACTTAAACCATTAAAAATAATTCTAAAGGAAAAAAAGTCATCTATTACCTAAATATACTTTTTGTCGATTCATGCACTTCGTTGATGTCAAATTGAGCAAGAACATTTTAAAAACATTTTAGCGCTCCAATCAGATTGCACTTCATTCTAAGCTTAGCTAATGTCAACGTCCCATACCCTACAAAGCTTTTTTTTGGCACTGCGCTATATTGTAGTCGTTCGGAGAATTTTTAGATGGGTTAGAAAAAATAACATCCAAATGTTTCAATAAATATTCTAGACGTAGCCGTACAAATTACTTTCTAAAGTAATCTCTTATGTTTATATCTTGCTATTAGTTTTACGTCAAAGGATCATAGACGATGCTATCATTTGTAGCTATTATGTGGAAGTAATCATCCCTTGTACTTAATGTCCCTTAAACTGGCGTGTAAGAAATTGGAACACGACTTAATTACATGTACAAATTAGTCCATCTTGTACTGTCAAAAATCAAATGAGCTTGTTTTATTTCTTTTATTAAAAAGACAAAAACCAGACAAAATAACTTTTTTTTAATTATGTTATCCACTCCTAATATTTTATAATGGGAAACGCAGAAATATTAGAGTTAATTCTATTAATATATTTCTAAGCAAAAGTATCTCAAATCCACTTAACTTCAAGTTAATCAGAACTTTTAAGCTGCAACGGTAATTAGAAGTACGGTGAACGTAAACTTTAAAGTGGTAGTAGTGTAATTTAAGTTTTTCTTAATGATTGCAACTTATTTAAGTAGATACAAAGTCAAACTTTTACTTTCAGCTACAAATTTTCGACATTTTCTAGTTAAAGCTGACTAGATCATGCTAGTGTTGCATAAGATGGTTTTGTTGAATATTGCAGCATGTAAATTTAATAAATAAATGATCCTTTTAAGCGAACGTTACACCTTTGTTCTTAATCTTAGCATAATAAGTTTTACGCAACGAAACTTCAAGCACATTAGTGGCTTCATTCAAAGATATTTTATTAAAACAAGAATAACATGAATAGCATGCAATAATATATTATCTATACTATTATAATAAAGCGTAAACACACACTACTTTGTTGCCTAAGATGTCAACAATTACAGCATATTTTTGAATAATTATTTTTTTAATAAAAAGCCCTACACTTACGTCACGCTTTAGGCTATATATTTTCACGCAATTGAACTTAGAGAGTAAATGTTTTGGATAAAAACCCTGATGTGGGAAAGATACCATAAGTTGCTGCCAACATCAAGGAAGCAAGATTGCCAAGGATTGTAATGTCATGTCATTTTGACATTTGCTATTGAAAATTTCACAAGTGTAAACAATAAAATATTTTTTCCATAATTTCATGCGGATGAAGTCGCGCGGAAACAGCTAGTTCTCAATAAGTGTTTAAACCTTGCTTTTTTTATAAAACCAAAAAAAAAAAAACGATTGACTTACTCTAGTAGTTGAATATACTAAAACATGAAAAAAAAAAAATACGCGAGAGAGATCCGTACTCGGTACTGTACATTTTTTAGAATTTGTTTTCTCTCTTCCACTGTAGGTATTTGTGCCCATGACACTGTGACACTTTAGGGAAGAAGAATTATGACTAAGAATACCTCATTCCTCAAAATCCGGTAAGACGTTTGGGCTGTAGGCTGTTACATACATAAAAACCCTCATGCATAAAAACATTACATACGTGCGAATAATTATTAGATAATAAAAACGTTATGTAACAATAAGAGTATGAATATAATTCTACTCTTTACATAGCTTTGCTATTTTCTGCTAATATTCTCGTTTCAATAGTTATTAGTGTTATTTACTAGATAATTTTATCTTAGGCGTGAACCCCCATATACGATTTACAACATGATATGCACGTGACTTAAATTCTAAATGGGATAATAAAAGATAACGGGTTCCCTTTAGCAAGGCCGTGGTACACATCGCTCGTATATACAGACATTTACTAATAAATTTACCTACGACCGCAGTGATCTTACTAATATTATAACAATAGTTTAGGTGGATATTTGTTAGGGTTTTTAGCCTAAACTTCAGAAGCCTGTAAGAACGCATAGATTATACTTTTGGTTCTTTTAATTTCACAATAACGGAATCGCGGACGAAAGCTAGTATTTCTATATTTAAGAATCGACTGAATTACGAGTAATTTTTGTGGATTCCGTATTTCCTCCAGAATTATTCAATTTGGCAATGCAATAAGGAAGTAGCGAAATGTACATAGGATATCAAAGTATCATTAGTAACTTATCGGAAGAATATATACCAAGTTCCGCTTTTATTACTAGCTTTTGCACCCGACATCGTCCGTGCGGAATTTATAAAATATCTATTCATCCACAGTTTTATTTAGTTACTTAATTTCTATTGGTGGATGATTTTTTTCAATCCATTAAAAAAGTTTTAAGTTTTTTTGTTACATAAAAAAATACAAATCTCACTTTTTTGATATTAGTACTGATAAAGATGAACGCATTCTTGGTTCATACATTTTAAGTATGCAGTTACCGATATAGAATCATGCTACATTTATTAAGCCTGTAACAGCCCGTTACAGTTGTAACTGACAGTTTTAACTGAACAGTTTCATTGTGTAGACAAAATTTTAACTGTTAGTTGGAATATTCAGTTAAAGTTTTATCACAGACATTTTTTTTTTACACGGACAGTAACTGATAAAACCATCAGAACTTAGTGTATATAGCAGATTTACTCTGGGTTTCTGAAATTCCTCCTAATTTTGTTATTAGCTAGCGATTCATTATTGTTCGGTTGACCTAAGTTAAGCGAGTAAAACTCAAGTTACGTAGTTCGGAAACGCATTTTACGAATTCATCTAAAACCACTAAGAAATGGTTAAACGAAGCTGTGAAATCGGCCATTAAAGGTTGCCCTTGAAAATGAGGGATGTAAATACTAGTTCAAAAATACCGCTGAATGGTTGAGGTAACGATGCATACATTATACAAATATCTTGGCAAGTATAAAATACTATTGTGTTATTTCTTAGAGAGGAAACTCGAATACGTATTGTTTGTCTTCACGAGCGAAATGGAATGGAAATGTTTTCTCGTAAGCGAGTGGAATTTCTTTTGAAATGTAAATTGGTCTACGTCTGCAAGTGAGACGTATCCATTTGGTTACGAGCAGTTTAGCTATCAATAAAGAGAGGTTCACAATGAGAGCACCGGTCTTGATTTTTTTTAACACGTGCGAACTTTCTGGCGAGTCGCGTCACTGCATAGTTCAGAGTAATGCATTATTCAGACACCACATGTCTTTCTGTTCTTAAACAAAGCAGTTACGTAATGTCGGCTGTACCTTAAAGTTACAGCATCTACTCGTATTCTTAAATAACCGTCATGAACATAATATAACATCTTCACAGAGAGTGACAAATTAGATATACAAAAATAAAAATTATTTAGTTAACCTTTTTAAAAAATATTTTATATCATAGTGTAAGTCTGAACCAAAACGTTATGTGATGAAATTGATATATTGCATGGATAGTTGTCGAAAGCAAGTAAAAGAAATTCATTGTCTAACGTTTGTGGTATAAATTTCCAGATACATAGATATCGGTAAGTACCTGTCCAACAACTGGCTGATAGAGGCACAGACGACTTAAAAATAATGTCACTGTAAAATAAGGTAACAAAATTCGTTATTTCCGACATAAATTTTACACATTAGATTGTTATTGGACAATTTATAATTTGGTGGGACAGGCCCTTAATTTTATAATTCACTAGCTGTCGCCCGCGACTCCGTCCGCGTGATAATAAAAACAAAAGAAGCCTATGTGTTCTTCCAGACTATCCTCTACATATATGCCAAATTTCATCCAAATCCGTTCAGGCGTTTAGGCTACAAACTTTAACAAACATCCATCCATCTATAACATTAGTATGAAGTATTTTTACTACTTAGTATACTTTAAATCCAAATTACCTCTTATTATTCGGTATAGATAGCACGGGTTCGCCACATTTGGTGGCGAACATAATTTAAATTTCGCGCCCCGGGTTTAGTGCTGGTAAGCGCGCCTATTTTATTTTTCCCGGACGGGCGGGTAGATGAAGAAACCCTCTCCACTACGGACGGGCGCGGGGCCTGCGGAGAGGGTGAAAGAAAGGTCGGAAACGAGCAGCCAAGCGAGTCGGTCGTGAA